TTTTTTTCTTCTTCTTCAAACTACTGAATAATCCACAAACAATGCAGGGCTACAAAGCAGTCTGAACTAATGGCGTAGCATTGCCAGGCGGGAGTCTCACAGAGGGTCACTTGTTCCTTCGTTTTTATGGAGATCAGTTAATGCATGTAGGACATTGCGTCCAGGTTTTAGAACAAGTGGCGAAGAAAGTGCACAACACAATGAAGCTTTTCTTATGCATTTAGAGCCCTGTGCCCACAAACACCTGGGGCTTACAAAGAGGAGAAAGAGTGGCTATTGTCTCCGAGTTGCACTACGTATATCAATACTTTCTCTTTGGCTCGATTGTTGGGGAAGTCGACATTGAAGGCTGATTCAAACATAAAGATGCACAGCGAGGAGCGACTGAAAGCCGTTCTCTTTTAATAGATTGGCTAATAGGTACCTATTCACCGGAGAAAATGTTTTTTAAAGTTTTGCAAAGAAACAATCGCTATGCATGTTGCCCCACTGTATAGCAGTTATCCAACGAGATCCTTTTTTATTTTAAATAGATGGCATAGAAAAGAGGAATCCCCCCCCCCACACACACACCCCACTACCACAAAAGCTTTTCCAGTTCGAACAGAGTTATTTATTGAAAGAAATAATAAATTGGAGGACATGCTGTGTGGCTGTAGGGGCTCAAAGACTGAGCAGGCATGTTTGTGCCTGACAGCTTCTTAAATAAGAAACCGCGATGAAAAATCTAGTAGATAAATAATCAGACGATTGTTTATTTAGTTGTGGCTGTATAAATGCACGGCTCCCGGCGATGTAGCCAGTGCCCGACATCCACTTCTAAATCAGAAACACAGCTGTGTTGTGGAAGAGCAGTGACTTGTGTTATCGAAGCATCAGAATCGTATCCCTTGGCAGCTCCTGCAGCATAATAAGACCTGACTTATATCGATTTAGTTTAATTACACGAACGCTGTATCTCACTTCTGGGTGAGGTTATGCCGTTGGCTCCGTGTCCTGCCCTGCCTTCTTCTGCTTGCTTTGGCAAATCCCACTCCCCTTGTCCACGTTCATTCAGTTTGGACGAAGCCGGCTTTTAAGACGCGCAATTCTCCATCCCTCAGGAGGTTTCCTTTTTGTTTCAGTCGGCACACACAACACAACACAACGGCGAGAGGGATGGGAGAGGATGTCGCTCTGGTTATCTCGCTCCTTCAGCCTGGTGCCCGAGCAGCACCACACAATGCCAGGGGTGGAATGCCACTAGTTCTGTGTGATTATCTGCAATAAGTGGGAAACACACTGCCCACAGGTTCAATGGAGTCCAAAACAATCCGAGGAGGCCCCTGTGTTTTACTTTTCTCTGGAATGAAACTGAAAATGCCTATTGTGCTGCATGAGTCCTGGCTTGTCCGTGAAAAAAAATCATCTCCGCTCAGAGCAGTCTATGCGTTTCAGAAGGTGCATCCATTTTTACAGAAGAGTAAAATTCTCCATTCTGAAAATCGAGGCAGGCAAGTGTGAATTTGTCTGTTTGACCTTGTGTTTGATGTCTCACTTCTCACTCTGCCTCACACTCCAGAGAGCTTTGGCTCAGCCTCCAGTTCCTTCAGAGCAATTACTTCTGCCTCGGACCATTTGTGTTTTTGCTTTTAATTATTCCGTTATTTTAGTTAATTTGCATTGTCCTGAAAGCCAGGTGGGCACATTTCATGTAGCTGTTGTGAGCCAAAGTTTTCGAAGTGTTTTTTTTCCCCTGAAGAGAATATGATCTTTGTATGAGCAATTAAAAACTTGGGATCCCGCATCAAAAGATAATGTTGTCTTTTAAAAACAGTTAATGACATTTGTGATGGTTCTTATGATCAGATTAAAAACATCTTTATGCTACGACTATACGAATGAAATTATTTTTATTTATTGCACCCAGAAACCTACATTCACATTTACTTTCTAAGCATATACACATATGTGTAAAGATGTATATCAAACAGCACAGACAAGAGCGATACTGTAGATCCCCTTTAATTTATACAAAACGTTGCAAGTAAATCTGAGCAAGCAATGAGCAGGATTATGAAACTGATAACGGGGAAATGATATTGTGCGATTTCATCATAAAAATGATTTTTTTGTGCATATAAAATAGCAGAATATAAAATACAATTGCCCATATAACATGAAGTTATATTGAACCCTACGATTTTCAGATGTTCTCTCCTTGTACATACACTTGCTGGATCTCAGGCCCAGGTCTTGCTCTGCATTAACCCCACACAGCATGGCAGTGACTAATGGAGAAATGCAGAGACCATATTGTGGCGCATGTTTGACCAGAGTGCTGACAGATTAATGGGAAGGGTAAATAGCAGCACACTCAGTGGTGGCACGGTATGTGGTGGCAGGCCTGGCTGCTGCAGGGCTCTCTTGTGTTTGCAGAGGGGAGCTGCTGTGGGCCTGCTGTGGAGGCAGAGCCCAGGTCACAGGCCTTTGTCCTTCATCCGCACTCCTAACAATAGCCCTCTCAGTGCAGGACAGCTTTTCTTTCACGTTATGCAGTTCCACTGCGCAGAAACCTTTTCAACCCAGCAGAATAATCTCAGCTGGGCTCGCCACCATGCAGCAACTTGAATGCTTTTGATAACCTTAATGCTCACTGAGGCCAACTCCCTAAATCCAGAGACTTTGGATTTTGCTTTGCGGGGGAGTGCATATATACCCGAGAACAGGCCGTTCTTTACCCAAAGGGTTGTGGGGGTCTGGAACAAGCTGCCCAGCCATGTTGTTGAAATCAGTATTCTGGCTTCTTTCAAGAAAAGGCTGGATGTGATCCTCAGATCAATTAACTACTCACTACCAGAAGGGCTAGGGGTGGGCCAAAAGGCTTCCTCTCGCTTGTTACTATCCTCTTATGGTTCATGTGCATCTGTCCTTCCTCACCTGTTCTAGGGTATCTGGGCTGGTTTCTCATGCATTAACTGCATTACAGCTGTTCTGTGCATTTACCTTACAGCCAGCAAGGCTGGGAGAGCACAATTTGAATTGCCTCCCAGCCCGACGGTCTATGGGCTTATGAAGGCGCAAAAGAACTGGAATTTGCATGAACAAAATTGACTTGCAGCCCCATTTATACAGCTTTCCTGGAATGATCTGAGTGACGTACAGCAGCGCCTCAGCTGGGGATTTGAACCCACATCCTTCTGGTACTGAGCCCAGAGCCTTTAGTGAATTTTGTGCAGATTGTTAAAATAATGCCTTCTGGAACTGCTTTAAGTAGGTCATGGTGTGGGGTAGACTTTTGCTGATTCTTTTAATGTCTTTGTATTGGAGCATACATGCAAATATGCATTTCATTGCACTTATGCATATGACAATAAACTGAACTGAACAGAATTATTGTACAATGCTTGGAAACACTGTATATTCTAGTTGAAGTTTCTTTAAAAAGATTCCCTTTATAAGTGTGTCTTCTAATGATGGTGAGGATGATGCACAAATCTATTTTTTCATTTCTTAAACCAGATATCAAAGTTTGCGATTAGAAAAAAATATTTGTCTGCAGTTACATTTTCGTTTTTTGTAAAATACTAGAGCATGATACGTTTTTTGATCTACTTGTCTTATAGTACTGAAGTTGCATACATAAGTGATTTTGTACCTCATTAGCAAATGGGAATTAAAGTTCATTTCCATGTTTATTAGGCCATTATTATGGGTCAAACATCATTAGCTTTTCCAGCCCTTCCTACCCGTAGGAGACTCAGAACTAAGAAAGAGACTCAGGTGATAAGAAAAAGGGCTGGAACAGGAAACAGTGGAGTCAGAAAGCGTTGAGACAGCATATTGCTAAATAATCAGCTGTGATTGATGGCTGTGTGTACGTTCCCCCATACATTTCTGAGCAGCAGCCTAGCAACAAGCTTAGTGCCATGTAGAGTACCAATGAACACAGCTTTGAAAAAGATGCCTCTTCCACTGCACAGAGCTGACTCGTGTGCAGGTAAGATTATTCTAGGAACTTTGAAGAGGCCACATCGTGCAGTCCCAGAGAGGAATTTAGCCAGGACGTGTATGTGTGTGTCTCTTTCTTTTTATTTGTGAGGGTTGTGAAGCAAGATTGCCAAATTAATTTCCCACGTCTGGGACAGTAAACGTCTTCTAATCTAATACAAACACCCTCACTCTTACAAACGGCCATGGGATCTTAAATGCCGAAGAGGCCAGTAGCTCCGTTTAACATCTACATCTGAGGGACAGCACCTGCTACAGCATGGTGTCTCTGGTCACCAGCACTGGGTGGGGCACTGGGCTAGAAATTGTGGCTCAGAGCAAAGAGCGCCACCTACTGGTCTGCCAACACCAACTCTACTGTGCTTAACCCACCTAACCCACTGTTGCCCAGTGGACCCACATAGTTCCCAGCTCCACAGGACCAACTGGAGGAATTTTCAGATCACTTTCTGGAGCTCAGTGACGCAAGACTACAGGCCATAACGGTGGTTATCTCCATGACCCCGGCTGGACCTGCCCTGTTGTGCTCTGTGCCCTGGTGCCCCTACAGACTCCTGGGTCTGAGCCTCCAGCATGGTGGATTCCTGCACTGGCTGGCAGCCTCAGTACTGACCTCCCCTTCATGGCCAATACGGTGCTTTGGGTGTTTAGATTTCTCCTCATGGAAAAGCGGGGGAAAAAGAACACAACAAAACAAGAAAAAAAAAACTATCAATTAGCTGCAGGTGTCTTTTTTTTAGTACACTCCACCCAAGGAAGGCTGCTTCACCACTGTGCCTGCAATTACTGAAGCGCTGTTAAAAAGGGCATGTTAACCATTCAAGGCATTTAACGTAGTGAGGAGAGACGTCCTATTTAATAACAACAATAATAATACGAGTAAGGGTCATAATAAAACTTAAGAGCTCTCCTGGTTCTCCGGCAGGGAAAATGCAGCCATTTGTGAACTGCACACAGTGATTATGCTAGTCTAAACACTGCTGAGCTTCCTGACAGGCCCGTCTCCACTGGTTACACCGTGCTTCATTTCCAAGAGGGGCTTGTTAATATTTTACAGCGTTTTTTTTTTTACCTTTTCTAGAAGAGGAGTGGGATGGAGCCAAAAAATCTTGATCCGGAGCAACTGAAGTGGGGAGAGACACACTCGTCTTAATGATTCATGATTGGCGAGGCTGATAGACTACGCTGTTTCCATAGAGCCAGCCGCTAGATTCCCCTTTAATGTAATTAGGCCTGAAGATTTATGAATACAGCAGGCCAGAACTTGATCCATGTTCATTTTCAATTACCGAGCTGAAAAGCCTCAGCCCAGATGTCTCTATTTACAGCGCTCAAAAGACAAAGGCGAGGAGCCGGGAAGGGGGGACCAGGGCTGTCACACTTGTTAATTCTCCACTATGAGTGCTCTGCGCAGGTCTTGGCATTGACCCCTGCCGCAAAAGACCGGGACCCCAGGGGCAGGGGCGTCAATGATTCCGAGAGTGCACCCCTGACCTTCTGGGGTCACGCGCTCTGCTGTGTAGGTACTTGTGCACTTGAAGTGGGAGTTTTGCACTGGGGTGACGGTGTGGAGGGCCCAGAGAGGCTGGAGCAGGAGCGCTGAGGCCGGGCTCTCTCTGGTGTCTGAACAGAAAAGGCTTTTTGATGAGCTTTAATACGATTCATCGCGCAGTCCTACAGCAGTCGTTTTTCCTTAATGTGACAGGAGCGCTGTGGCGTTTTACTGTAAGAGGTGAAGGGTTAGTGGGGTCTTTCTATGCTTGCGTTTGATCACCCTGAACTTTTGGGAATGATCGGACTCTTCCCTTTTGGACAGTGCTGGAAACAATGGGGCAAAAAGCAATGCATTTCTGGGGCTTAAAATAGCCCATTATTATTATATGAGCTGTACATTTAAATCAAAGAACACCAAGCTGAACACCTGACATATCTCTGCTTGAAACTCTACAACAGTTTTGCAGCAAAAGGTATGTGTGTTGTTGTGAACTTTTTCAGTGTCTTCCGATCTCTTTAAACTCGCTTGTTGGTGGGCTTAGTAGTCCTCACAGAAGAAGTACTGTACACGTGCTTGAGGCTTTGCTGCTGATGGGGGCTCTCTCGACAAACACGGAAACAACAGAAAAAAAATAATTAAAATATCAGTCTGTGCGGAAAAGCACCTTTTCTCTTTTGACCTTTAAGAAACGTGTTCGAAGCACCATTGAAAACCTCTTAAAAAAAGAGTCAAGGAAAGTGAGGTTAGTTCCGATGCAGGCATGTATAGTACTGAAAAGCAGGCCAAGCCACCATATTACAGATGTTCCTCCACTCACTGGCTCACGTAAACACTTCTCAGTAAACTTCATATGCACATCTGCTCCTGGGAGCTGCATCAGAACATTACCAATGTAACATTTATCCATCCATCCATCCATTTTATAACCAATTCCTCCAATTCAGGGTCACAGTGTAGCTGAAGACTATCCTGACAAAGCAAAAGACTCAAGTACTGTGCCACCCGTACAGTTTTTTAACACACAGAACTCTGCACAGGACAACACTAACAACACCCGTACGGCGCGTTCTACAGATCAGGATCCTGTACAGAAACGTAGTACACACCGACAGCACGGGGAGAGCCTTGTGTTTTAGGACTGAAGGAATGATTTTATTATTCATTTTTAGTTCAGGTCCAAGATTAACTCACAGCTTGTCTCCTCTTCATGATAAACCTAAAGGCAACCAACGTCTTTTGCCAGTTTAACATTTACAGAGTGACCTCCCCTAATGATTAACAATAATCACCCAGGGTCTGAGGAAAAAAATAAACACTGTTCCTTCCCACAGAAGAGATGCATGACTGAATTCTGGTACTAGTCTCGCCGTTTCCCTAAGTC